GAGCATCGTTTTCACTTTGGATTTGCTCATTCTTCCCTTTTTCGGAATAGGAGACGCCGTTCGAATTTAATCGCGTACCTCTGCTCTAACGAACGCTTAATTACACTCAACGCGGGCGCGCGGTGGGGATTTCCCTTAATTCTCCTCAAAGTTTTTGAAAACACAAACAACGTGAAATATCGTAATTTATAACTTTGAATATAACCTGTCTTCAGAAAGGACAACATATAAATAACCCGTCGGGCACAGCTAATAGATATACTTCATTGGCAGCATATTCCGTAATGATTATCTCACACAGCAAATATCACTGATTTTATACACATGCAGACAAATACACATAATCATCCAGATGCTATCTTGCCATTCAGCCAACTTTCTTCTCATAGATGAAAACGACAGACTACTCGGCTTCACAAAACATATGCAACCAACAATGCGTGTAGTTGAGTCATTCCTCCATAGATGGACAACGATCCTAGTGAGCAAACGTGGAATGACTGTTTGCACGCTAAAAACTACCTAGCCTACTAGATGTTTTATAGGTTTTTTACATAATACCCGTCCGGAGATTTGCCGCCAACGGCTTACTTATAGAGACTTTACTTTGATAATTTAACGGAATATAGTTCAAATGTCATATCGTACGGTACTTAATAAAATGGTACCAGCATTACTTTTATCGAAAATACATGGGCTTAACAGCTTCGCGCGCGCTTCACTACGTCATAGAAGATACCAATCTACAATTTACACTTGGCAGTAAAGGAGTATAACAATGCGGAGCTAACGAGGCGAGGGGAGTGCCGTATCTGCCTTTCATAGCAACTGTCGCTGTCTTAATTGTTGCAGTATGGATGTATACCTTAGTTTTCATTTTTTATTCTAGTACGACCCTGGTACTCAAAATTTCGACACATCTTCGAAGCAGCGAGCCCCAGCTTACACTGATAGAATACTCTTCAAACAGAGGAATCATCGTCGGCTCAGTGGACATCATGAATATCCTCCCCTTCAATGTTTAGTGTATGATTCTGTACCTTCAATTACTACCTCTGACCACAAACCAGTATGGGGCGTTTTTAAAACATATTTGAGACCGGGGCTTGATAAGTAAGTCGATTTTATTTATTCATAAACGTTCATATCTTAACAAGTGTGGTGACAAGGTATAAGTACGTCTAGATATAGAATTTTCATGTCAAAATATTTATACCTGAAGACTTATGAGAACAGTCGGCAAATCTAATTTGCATTGATATAGGGTTAAACGCAAGCCGTGGTGTCCACACCGCTTTTTCAATCGCGGGTTAACTAAGTTGGGATGGAAGTTACCAATAAATTACCTTTAAATGTGTTTTCAAATTTTGGTTCAGTAACCCATAATTGTTGATACGGCGGCCATGCTGCTTTTACTTACAAACTATCGTGTTCTGTATGTTTCGTGATTTGTGTCTCGTGCTATCAGTGGAAACATATAATCTTTTTCGCGAATATCCATTACGGTAGAATGGCAGTTGATTATCTAGTAATATTTCAAAATTTCCCATATCGGCAAAGAACACATAATTCTGATGGATCTGTCAATGCCAGGTAGACTGAGTCATATTTTGTTTTAGTTTTTTCTACGCTACAGATTCATTTTGTACTTTCTAAAAGCTTTTTTATCTAGAAAAGTTATTTGCACACAAAAAACAAAACGCTACAAACAAGTTTTACTAGATTTACACCCGAAAATGTAACTTGCTGATCAGCTGTTCACCTCAGTAGACGTCAACGCTGATGGATACTCGTGAAATAGGACAATGGAATCTTGGGCCCAAGAAATGTAAAATGTATAGGCCTACGAGCCCTAAAGGTGGCTACAGACACAACTGCAAGCTGGTCCAGTATGCGTATTCAATCTTTTTGCACGAACAATTTGCCTTTGGCACCACACGTACAAGCATGCTTGATAAAAATAGAGGTAGTTTAAAGGTTTCTACAGACACAACTGCAAGCTTGTCCAGCATGCTTGTTCAATGTTTTTGTACAAGCTCGCTTGAATGTCTGTAGGGAAATGTGGTGCAAGCTTTGTAATTGTACAAGCAGTTTGAGGATTGAATTGATTTTAATTATGCATGCTTGAATTAGGCGCGCTTGCGCAAGCAAAACAGTACGTGTGTACCCAAGATTTTCAAGCATGCACAAGTTGGGGTCCGTTGATGATCGTATCCTGCTTTTGAATCAAAGGTGATACAAGAGACAAGGTTTTAATGCATCTCTTCAACCATTCTAAGATAGTTGTGCCAGTCACGCGGATATATTTTCAGCTCACTTAGTAAGTAAATGTGAGAATAGGTTTTCCCTTTTATCAACCATTCTTTACACCACACCGCACGGTTTTTTATTCGGGATTTTCTTTTCTTCACAAGAACAAAAGCGGCCAAAGCGAGCGAATCGCCGTCAGAGTTCGACATATTTAATTAAACTACCTCTATTTTTGCAAGCGCGTCTAATTCAAGCATGCATATTGAAAATCAATTCAATCCTCAAGTTGCTTGTACAAATACAAAGCTGGCACCACATTTCCCTACAGTCATTCAAGCGTGCTTGTACAAAAAGATTGAACAAGCATGCTGGACAAGCTTGCAGTTGTGTTTGTAGCCACCTTAAAGGTGGCAAGCTTGTCCAGCATGCTTATTCAATCTTTTGGTACAAGTATGCACAATTGGTCTTTGGCACCACATGTAAAAGCTTGCTTGATAAAAATATACATAGGTAGGTAGTTTAATAAAATATGTTGAGCTCGGACGACGATGCGCTCGCTTTGGCCGGTTTTGTTCTTGTTAAAAAAAATAAAATACCGAATAAAAAAGCGTGCGGTGTGGTGTAAAGAATGGTTGAGATGAAAAGTAAAACCTATTCTCACATTAACTTACTAAGTGAGCTGAAAATATATCCGCGTGACTGCCACAATTATCTTTGAACGGATGAAGAGATGTATTCAAACCTTTTATCTCTTGTATCACCTTTGATTAAAAAGCAGGATACCATCATCAACGAATGCCAACTTGTTCAAGCTTGAAAATCTTGGGTACACACGTACCGGTTTGCTTGCGCAAACGCGCCTAATTCAAGCATGCATAATTAAAATCAATTCAATCCTCAAGCTGCTTGTACAATGACAAGGCTTGCACCATATTTCCCTACAGACATTCGAGCGTGCTGGTACAAAAACATTGAACAAGCATGCTGGACAAGCTTGCACTTGTGTCTGTAGCCACCTTTACACAACATAGTTCGGACATTATCTTAAAGTTTTTTTTAAGGTTACCTAATTTTATTCTTTTATAAGACATTGGATATTGTTTGGATATCATATCAACAAAAGCATTATCAAGTATTATGGTATTAAACTATAAAGCTAAACTAATATTGATAACAACGCAATATTTGGCTGACACATAAATGTTCGGACGAACCATTTCAATAGCTCGTCACGTCTCCCGGTGCCTTAATAACAACATTAATTCTGGCTTGCATAGTTTTAACAAGGTTTTCGCAGTCTTCCGCCTTAAAAGAATCTTATATATTTTGTCATTTTATTCGTAAAATAGAAATGTTTCGTTGTTTTGAGTCTTTTTCTAACTGCTGCTTCATTTTGTGCCATACAGTTTCGATAATATTGGAATCAGGACTACTTGAAAGCCAGTCAAGGATGGAAATATTATTATCCTGCAACCATTTTTCGAGGTTTTGGACGTATGACATGACACCCCATCTTGTTGAAAACTAAAGTTTCTATCAGGTGATGGAATTGACACTAGCAAATTGGTTTCAAGGATATTTTGATATTTAACTGCGTTTCCCATACCATTCAACTTGATGGAAATTTTAGTTTTCTGTTTATGGAGCGCTTTATTTTTGTTTCTTATTATCCTGGATCGGTGGTCACCCTCACAAACATTAAATTTCGACGCATCGCTAAAAATGATCTTTTTCCAGTCCTCGTAAGTCCACATTGCCCGTTCCGTAAGCCATGGCTTTTCTTTTGCCTAAAGCAAATATTTCACTGAATACATATGTCATTTGTCCCTAAAATGCAACCTACGTACCTTATAAAAATGTAAACCAGACTTATGAATCCACCGACGGCACTTTTCTTGTGAAACAGTTACTGCTGTATCTTCATTCCATTTTGCTGTTATGTCCCTTCCAGTACCTCGACGACCAACTTTACAAATACGAACAAGAGATCTTTGCATTCTAGGACTGATCTTACGTGGCCTACCAACACCGTGTCTTGAAACTTGAGTTACTTGTTCAGCAATATCCCGAAAACTTTCCTTGATGAAACAAGTTTATGATTAAAACTCTGATTCCACCATTTGTTGCTTTAGAGCAAATGGATTCACAGAATTGATTCTTAAATCAAATCGTCAAATTGTAAACATTTTTTTGTCTCCATGGCCTGCTATTATTTTCCTTTTAATATCGTGTCCGAATATTTATGTGTGAGCAAAATGTTGCCTTGTTATCCATATCGGTTTGATTTTATATTTCAATATAATATTATTTGAAAACAGTCTTGTTAATATGATGTGCAAAAAATATACTTCATTGTCTTATAGAAGAAAAACAATTAATTTTTAACCTTCCAAAAATAAACAAACTTTTAGATATAACTTACTGTGTGAACATTTTTGTGTTAGGGCTCGTAGAATCCAAGGCGATATTAGCCCTTGTGACTTTGGGGACTATCAAAAAGAATAAAAATCATATTTTGTTACAGTATACCCTTGGCAGCAGGCTTATTCAATAGAGATGTTTATTTAGAAGGCTTGAAAAGAAGAGCAGCTACCATGTGTAATGCGAAGGGAGCAAGTACTGTTTGCTCGGTCCAATAAGTGCAGTATAATAATCTAGTCTAGATCTGTGTAATATGACCAAAGATGAAACCTATCCATATACATATATTTTTATTTTTCTGTGAAGAAAAAACATCTTTACATATTGTACCGTTTATAATAAAAGACTGTTTTGATTTTGATATTTGCATGAATTTACTTTAATCATTAGAACGTATTTCTTCAGTATTATGTATATTTGTTCTGTCTCCTGAACTGAAGTATCCCAATATTGTAGATGATAGTGTTTTCCATAGAACATAGACTTGTATGTACCATATAAAATACCAATGTCCTAACTACCCACACATTTTTCTACCCCTGTGTAATTGGCAAGATATATTTGTGCGTATCCCGTACTTCAGGGGAAAACAATGATTGTTACATTTATTAGCATTTTATGTCAATCTTTATGTAGTACATTTATTCACACTAAAATCACAATAAATCATAAAAATAGTCTAATCCTTGTCCTAACTCCCATATGGATATTCCAGTATTGAGGCTTTGTGCTAAATCTAACCTTCTGAATATTGAGTACAAGGTTGGATAGAACACGATATGATTTTCACCGTTTGAGTCCCTAAAAAAATTACAAAATTATTTTTACATGTATTTCCATGATAGGCATTCATAAAATTAACAATAGAAAGTTAGTGATACCAATGCTGATTCATCAATGAAAAACATATAGTCTAATCATATTAGCAAATTTCCCTGAAATAATTGTTTAATAATAATTATGTGATATACATGTTTCCAAAAATTATCTGCTATAAATTTTATCAAAGTAATATAAAAAAAAATTAACAACCATACGTACACAGCTGGTTTCCTGTTTGCAAGCTTACATTGTCTATGCTATGCGAAAAACTGTTTGATCGCATTAAAAGTACACGTAATGTGAAAAAGCATTTATTCCCCCAAATAAAAAAATAATAGAAAAAAGGAGCTTTGTGGATTTGCACCTCCATCCTGCGGATCTGCAATCGTCGCTCTTCCCCATTACACTACGACGCCTTTTGTTTTACTGAATCTTTATAGCACTATACTGACGAATGTCAAGCGAAGGTTGAAGTTATATCAAATCTGTTATAAACAATTAGAATCCTCTTGAAAACCATACAAGATACAATGCTGAAACTTTAAATAATGTATTAGGGACTATACGGTTAATTCGCTACAATTGGTTGATATTTGTCTACTGTTTTTCGCGTATTGAGTTTATTTTCAAACATGAACTCGCAGTCGTCTTAATCGTATGAGATTTCGATTCTATATTAATACTTTTAGAAAAAAGGTCCAGGGATATATTTCTTCATAAAGAAACTGGATTAAGTGACCTACTTATTTGACAAAGTCATGCAGTCATCAATAATGCGGCCATTTGGCACATGCTACATACTATTATTTATTTTTTTTATAAACTTTAAGGCTCATCTGTGACCGTGTAAAAATTTCAGCACTAAGTATTTATACACAAAAGTATCTTGAAAAAAAATTGGTTTCTTCACAACATATATGGACACATTCGCTTTGTTTTAAAATGTGTATAATAACGCATGTTTTTTGAATATCGTAGCGAATCTGTCCAATTACTCGCAAATACGAAATATTTGAATTTGTTTAGAAGAAAAAAAACGACCTCTTCGTTTTTCGCATAAAAATAACAATTATCTTCCGGAATGGCTTGTGGTTCATGTCGGCAAGGTAAACTCGTGTATTTTGTTATAAAATGCCCTTTGAACGAACTGTGTATATTGCTCATTAAACTATTAGTGATGGCCGGAAGACAGGAGTTTTGTAATAAACAATTATAACTTCTCAAAAAAATTATTTGACCAAACGACACCGATTTTGTTGTGGTTGCCTAGAAGTATGAAGCCCGCGGATATTAAGAAATTCAAATAGCTGCGTGTAATTATAGTCGCATTAGCAGCAAGTGCCAAAACCTGCATTTTGCCTCGGTTTTCGGTCATAACTTTTTTACTATTAGCACGATCTTTCTTAATGTGACCCCCCTCTGTAGGTCTCATAAATACCTAAAAATCTTATTTGAAGAATTTTGTTTCCTGGCATCACCTTCGATTAAATCCCAAAAAACACGTTTTCTCATTCTTTATTGTCGAATAAAAAGTTTTCCCACAAAAATTGGTGTACCCATTTTATGCGTCCATGTTTTAAATAACAACTTGCATAAAACCAGACTTTACAATTATTTCGCGGATCAGGGGTATTTTCGTCTAATATGATTAGACTAATAAACAGTATTATCACCACAATGGAAATATTATAGGCAATTTTAGACCAGATTGATAGAGTGTAAGAAAAATAAAAATTCTCAAGTAGCAACAGTGTGATGAAGTGCCATCCGTCGGAGATTGAAAATTTCCGCCTCAAACTATTTTTGATCATACCTGGATAGAGCAAATCATTAGCCACCCAATGTACAGTGCTTTTCTAAAAGAGTCAAGGGAGCTAAAATTTGGGATGATGAAATTGATACAGGAATACTACGTTTTAGTGCAAAAGTGGCAGCTGAAAATTTCAAGATGGCAGCAGGACGCCATTTTGGAATATTTTTCAAAAAGAATAAGATACTTTTTTGAAGCTCCTTTTGAGTACTTTATAACCGTAGAATATAAAATCACTATCTTTTCGTTCTGTACATTGAATCGCTGATAACTCGGCAACCAATCATGAAAATTATATACGTATATCACAAAAATGTTCGGGCATTATCTAATTTTATCTAAAAGTTTGTTTATTTTTGTAAAGTTAAAAATTAATTGTTTTTCTTTTATAAGACAATGAAATATATTGTTTGCATATCATATAAACAAAACTGTTTTGATGTAATCTGATATTGAATTATAAAATCAAACTAATATTGATAACAACGCAACATTCTGCTGACACATAAAAAATGTTCGGACGCGGTATTAAAAAGAAAATAATAGCAGGCCATGGCAACAATTTGATGCATTGATTTAAGAATCAATTTGTTTATCAATAAACTCAATGTTTCCGTCCGACTGGTTTTACAATTGTAACAAGTGCTCTCATCTCCACGTTCGTTTTGAAACACCATATATATGTATACACACAACGAAGGGACAGTTAAAATGATGAAAACTATAAAATATTTTTTGCAATTTTCTGTTGGTGATGTGCCTGCTAATGAGCGGATGCGTCTTTTTGGGACACAAATACATCTTCAGAGCGCGTTGACCAACCCCAGAAACATACTCCATATCTTAATCTGAATCCAGAAAACTAAAATTGTATCAATTGTTCAGTTGTTGAGATGGTTTTAATTGCCTCAACACATAGCTTTGAGAGTCTATCTTTGATGTGAGAAATTCGCAGTTCGAATCAAAATGAACTCCAAGAAATTTCACTTCTTCTCTAAAATCGAGTTGATCGTCACCCAATCTAACTAGAAACTGTTCTACAGTTTTTTGAACATGATAAAAACAAATAAGCGTTGTTTTGGAAGAATTCAAGTATAGTGCGTACTGGTTAAACCACGTATTGATATTCATAATTAAGTCGTTACATGTATTTTCCAAAATTATATTTGAATTACTTGATATTATACCGGAAAAGTCATCAGCATATGCTGTAAAATGAGTATCTGAATCAACATTATCAAACCGATTAATATATAAGAGAAAAAAGATTGGTCCAAGGAGAGAGCCCTGAGGGACTCCAATCGAAATGTCTGACGTACTTGACACAAAGTTTTTCATATTGTTCCCTGCATCAAGATATACTGAAACATATCGTTTTCTTTGGACTAAAAACGATCTGGCCCATTTAAGAGACTGGCCGACAAAGCCATACGAGTATTTACCAACAATCTCCAAGAATTCGTTGTGATCAACGCAGTCGAATGCCCTACTGAGATCACAAAATACGAAAACCTTGTTAAAACATGCAAGTCAAAATTAATGCTGTTATTAAGGGAGACGTAACGAGCTATTGAAATGGTTCGTCCGAACATTTATGTGTCAGCCAAATACTGCGTTGTTATCATTGTTAGTTTAATTTTATGGTTTAGTATCATATTACTTGATAATAATTTTCTTAATATGATGTCCGAGCAAGATATTTCAATTTCTTATAAAAGAAAAAAATTGTAACCTTAAAAAAAATAAACAAACTTTAAGATAAAATTAGATGATGTTCGAACTATTTTGTGTTAGGGCTCGTATGTTATATCAATCTTCTTCCATTGGAAGGTTCTATCCGAATATGTATACTGAGTGACAAAGAAAGGTAGACCCCTACGTATGTTTACTTGATTTTAATAGTTTTTGGCATATATGTTCAGTGTCTCTTACTAGTAGAATGATTAAATTTTGAACTTGATTCGTCAACTGACTGCAGAAGCTGGTTCAATAATGTGTTGAGGATACACGATTTCTTATACACTCATTGACACGCCAGGGCATCGTGCTGATAAGCTGCTAAAGTCTGCGGAGGGTGTTGCAAAGTCAAAAACCCGCGACCTATCATGTCACAAACGTGTTCAATAGGAGATCGTGGTGGTCAAGGTAAACGGTTGATGCGATGTAGATTCATGAAGGCTAACGATGCTCTGGCAACATGCGCTCTGGCAATGTCTTGCTGAAAAATCGGGTTTTGGATGGTGTTTAGGTATGGAATAAGATGAGGCTCCACCAGTGGCGGCTCGTGAGGTTGTGCCACGGTGCCATGGCACTACCTTGTCTTCTTCAAAAAGAATATTTTTTTCAATCTTCAATGTTTTACTTTATTTTCTGCTTTTTCATTTTTTTTGGTATAAATTATATGAAGTGACAACACTGACAACGTGACAACACCGCAAGCACCCGACCGACGCGACGAGACGGAAAGCATGCCTTGACCTTGACGTCATCAACTTGTGCCAATTTTGGCCCGGACCAAATAAAAAGAGAGAAATTTTACCAGCATCGCATACGAGCGACAGAGATAACGCTACGCTAGACATTTTTATATGAGGTGAATAGCGAAAGACAAGTATAATTTGTGCCAGGCACATCATCAGTCGTAATTCGTTATCAAATGATATCGGCGGTGTTTTTGTTCGGTCGGTCGTTTCGTTATGATTACGTCTAGTGCTGATTTCGGTCTTTTTTTACCTGAAAAGTGAGAAATAACGTTTTTGTTTTAGTACGTCTAGTGTTAATGAACTGCTCTGTTTTGTGATCATATTTTTTACTGTTTTATTAAAACTAGTGAAAATGAATAAAATCGGGATATTAAAAAACTCATTTAGTGGTTTTTCGCTGGATCAAAAACTGCAAATTAAAGAATTAGGACGGCCAATACCCGAGTTAAAAATTGTGAAACAAAGTGGTAGCGGACAAAAATCGCGCTGTCGCAAATTTAATAAAAATGTGTACGATAAAAACAGCTGGATATGTGGTTGTGAAGAAACGAATAAACTATTTTGATTTGTATGTGTTCTATTTGGAGGTGACGAGACTTGGTCAAAAAAAGGTGCAGACGATCTTATACATATATGGGATAAAATGAAGACCCACGAAAAATCTAAAGTCCATATGAATAATGTTTTTAGCTTTTCTATTCTTGGTAAATTAAATATAAAGACTCAACTCAATTCGGCTTATCGCAATGATCTAATTAAACATAATAATCAAGTGGATAAGAATCGATATGTATTGAATAAAATTATTAAGTGTATAAGGTTTTGTGGAGCATTTGAGTTAACCTTAAGGGGTCATGATGAAAAGGAAAATTCGGAAAACAGAGGCATATTTAAGGAGCTGGTGAATTTTAGCGCCGAATTAGACAACGAATGAAAGTCCATATTCAAAGTGCCAAACTTTTTAAGGGTACCTCAAAAACAACTCAAAACGAGCTTCTTGAGTGCATGCTAGATGTTTATCATGAAGAAGTTAAGAAGGAGATTGCAAATTCTCCTTTTGTTGCAGTAATGCTATGATGGTGCGTCTGTTATGAGTGGTGAATTGAATGGCGTTCAAAAAATTATTAAGGAAACTTATCCACTTGCAAATTATGTTCATTGCTATGCACACCAGTTAAATCTAATTATGACAAGCGCATGCTCTGTCAATAAGCAGGCTAGAATATTTTTCCATAATTTATCTGGATTGTGCTCTTTTTTTTCGACGTCTCCTCAAAGAACAAAAATTTTGGATGAAATAGTTAATCGCAGATTGCCAAGATCTTCCCAAACACGTTGGAATTTTCAGTCACGAGGTGTTCATACAGTTTATGAAAATAGGAAAGACCTGATTGAAGTTATGGACAATATAGAAAGTACTTCACGCGATTTTTCGTCGATTAATCAAGCCAGCGGGTACAAATTAAAGCTGCAAGATACAAATTTTGTATTTTGGCTAAGTATTTTCCATAAAATAATGTCACATGTTGAAATTGTCTTTAACCAATTACAAAAAGTATGCACCGATTCTGTTAAGGTCAAAAATGATTTAGAGAATTTTGAAGCAGCAATTCAAACTATACGAGAACAAATGGATAGCATTATTGACGAGATTGAACGAGTACAGAGAGAAACTGATGAACCGGCAAGAAAAAAAAGGCAAGTTGAAGAAGGCAGCAAAAAACGGGAAGCGTTAGAAATATGCGATGCAGTATTATCGCAAATAAGAACAAGATTTAACTTTTCTGGGCATTTAGTTGCTTCTAATTTATTTGTGTCTGAAAAGTTTTCTGTTTATAAACATCAGTTTCCTGAAGCACATTTAAATGACACATGCACACAATTTTCTTTTTTAGACAAAAACAGGCTTAAAACTGAGTTACAAGTATTATATCAGAGAGAAGAATTGAGTACTACTTCTGGAGCTGTTCCACTATCCATTTTATTGAACGAGGAAGGATTAAATTGTACGTTTCAAGAAACTCTTAAGCTCTTAAGTATTTTAATCACTATACCGATGTCAACATCTGAAGCAGAACGCTCTTTTTCAATGCTGAAACGGATTAAAACTTTCCTCAGAAACACAATGAAGGAAGAAAGGCTTAGTGCTTTAGGAATGCTGTCTGCAGAAAAACATTTTGATAGTGGCATTGAAAATTTTAATAATAAGGTAATCGAAAACTTTGCTACCAAAAAAGAAAGAAGAATGGACTTCATATATAGAAAACTTTGAAGTTATAGGTACTTCTCCACACTTGTTTTATAATTCGGTGCGCGTGTGTAAATAGTTTTATTTTTGATTTCTTTTTGGACATATAGATTTATTGAACCTCAAGAACTTTGACCACTAACTATCAGGGGTAAGTTATAAGTTATTCTTTACAATTTTGAATCGATTCAAAATTATGGCTCACTGAATTGGCACGAGCCGCCACTGGGCTCCACTACTTCCTGAATATAGCGTCGGGCTCTGATAAAAAATCGTGGTGATCTGCTACCACAAGCAATAACACCCCATACCATAACTCCCGCAGTGTGGTCAACGTGACGCTCTCTGTCAAATTGTGGGTCACGTCTTTCACACCGTCGCTGTCCTCGGCCTTCCGTTCACACTGGAGTATACTGCGTAAGGATCTGTCGGTCCTCCTAGAAACTTCTCTTATCGATAGACCGGCTTCACGCAACCCGACAATTCGACCCCTCTCACGCACTCTAGGCATTTTGAGCAATCACAAAAAGGCTTCTCAATAAGCTACACGAAATTTAACATTTAACTGACACTGTAAATGTACGAAAACTGAATGCTTCTTTATCACCAAACAATACACGCAGCCACCACAAAAACTTAACAGAAAAACCTGACCAATTTATCACTTGTTGTTCGTGGCAAGATAAACCGATATGTACAAAATTCTTGAATTGTAATAAACATACGAGTACGTAGGTGTTTACCTTTTTTGTCACTCAGTAGTAATATGGCACATTCTATTAAAAAATTGTCATCTTTTGCCAAACGGTCACGCGGGCACACACACGCACGCACACGTACTAGCACACACATACACGGATTAGGTGATAGATGACAATTCTTTAAATTTATTTCCTAAAAATATTCCAATGAATTAAAAAAAAAACTGGCGACATTAGAGTTGTATCTTCGGACATCGCTACCTTTATTTAGAAGATGAACAAAAGGTGAACTTAAACACATACATTGATGAGAAAATTTTCAAAAACATTTGCGAGCTTATACAAACCAGCGTCAGTGCATAAATCTCGATTGCGTATTTATGTGTGAGGGAGCTGGATGTATGAGAATAAATCAAGTAATTTTACTGTGACCCACCACAAAAAGACCTATAGATATTAGCACATACGTGTAATCAAACCAGTGTTCAGCAACTTTGGAGTCATATTGCAGCTTGCCATTGGAAATATGTTTTTTCAATCTGTCAATGTATTCATGTGACACTATTGGACTACCACCACGAGCAATGGTGAAGTCATTCCCATAAAAATTCAAACCCGTCAATATCTTCTTACGTTGAGCTTTGTGGGGTGTCAATGACTTTATACAGTCTTCTATCCAGTCTATTGGTGCATTTGGGCCTAAAACACAGGACCAATGAAGTTAAATTATTGTAAAATATGAAACAATGTGGCGTCGAGTAGACTGTCCCAGTATTTCAACGTAAGGCCACATTAAAATCAATGGTGTATTCAAGAAACGTGTTAGAAACTCGAGTATTTTAAAAACGCCAAGTAAACTAAAATTTTGAGCATGACTCATTACAGTCTGACCACAGGACATTCGCCACAGCGAATATTCGCACGGTGCGAACGGTGAAGCGGCCTGCGACTGAAATAAACGCATAGAAATGTACTTATCAAGCCACGCGCAGCGGTGAATGGCGAAGCGACCGGCGAAATATACCACGTAGTATGCAGTACGGCCATGGAGTCGAGCGGTAGTGGCGGTGAATAGTGCAGTGATCAAACAAGTTTAGTTTTATTCGCCTCGAAAAATGGACACCGAGGCTTTTTGTTACTCAAATACTTGCTAGGCCAGCTATTTGCAAGTCTGGCCATCCACAGCACACAAATAAATAACATAATTATCGCCTATTTCGATATGTTCTAGCGCAACACCTCGTACATGTTTTGCAAAATATCTCCCATTACATGTCTAATCCGCACATGTTCCGTTGGTCATTGTTCCGATCAGACGTTTCCTTATTCGTAGTCCATTTACGCCCCGGCACAACAAAGATGCAGCGCGGCAAAGCGGCGGCCGCCTAAGCGTAGCATCAGCTATTGGCCATTCGGCCATAAAACTACGAACAAGTGCAGGATTCCACAGGACAGAACTCAGGCTCGGGGTATACGTTAGCATGTCATCTACGGATACAGCAGATGAAATTGAGAATATTTCTCTCAATACTTCCTTCAGGCATGCTTCCTCTCCAGTGATGTCTCCTCCCCGAAAAAGGGACAAGAAGGGACATTTGAATATTCAGGCAAAACAAATTCTCCTTAACGTTTATAAGAGCGAAATTTTAGAGCATCCTGAAATGAAAATTCATGATATTAAATGACGTGTGGCAAACAAAACAGGCTTATGTCCTAAGACAATTTTCAACATTGTTAAAGAATATAAAAAAATGTCTCCACCACACAAGAGGCTGCAGTACACGAATCTATTGGATACAGTTGACCACTTTGATCGGAATGCTATCAGACGCAAAGTCCATCAATTTTTTTCAAAGGCATGAACTTACCACCATAGACAAAGTATTACAGGAGGTTAAAAGTGATGAAGAGTTACTTACTTTCAAAAGGACCACATTCTCTAGCTTACTCAAAGAACTTAATTTTAGTATAGAAAACGGGTCAGAAATAGTATTTTGATGGACAGCCAAGAGATTATTTTATGGAGATGAAATTATTTGAAACCAATAAAGAAATACCGCTACCAGAAGATTTATTACTTGGATGAAACTTGGATAAATGCAGGACATACAAAACCTGAAGCAAGGGCTGACTCTACAATTAAATCAGCACGACAAGCCTTTTTAGATGGACTGACCATTGGCCTAAAGAATCCGTCAGGTACGTGTATCTAACCAGTTCGTCCTTTGTGTTGTAAAAATGGTGTCAAGTGGACTGAATCTATGAGCCCACGCTGAAATTTTAGCTATACTAAGTGACATATAAATCCGAACACCCAGTTTAAATGGTTTTATTTTAATAAAAGTTGGTGAATGTATTTATCTTATCATTATCAGTTGGACATTCCGGTTTTTATACTGCTTTTTTTTTTAAATTCACTAACGCTCTAAAAATGAATATTTCAGCCGCAGTAAAGAATCAACGTTGGCGGATTTTGGTTCTTGACATCCTTTACGATCGGTTACGATGCCTAGAGTACGGAGACCTGTACGATTTCGTCAACTTAGTGAGTTTGATAGGGGCCGTATAGTGGGACTTCGGGAAGCTGGACTTTCTTCTGGGCAATTGCAGTTAGAGTGCAAAGAAGTGTAGACACTGTGGTTAGGTGTTGTCAGGCATGGCTTCGAGAAGGCCGTACGCAAAGAGCAAGGGGCACTGGACGCCGCCGTAGAACAACAGACCGTGAAGATCGCCGCCTAAGATTATTGGCCTAAAGGGACCGTTTCTCCTCTACCAGGTCCATTGCAAATGAATGGTTTGCAGAACACGGAAGACCTATTGGCATGCGAAGTGTTTACCGACGAATGAGAAGTTTTGGCTTGTTTTCATACCGGCCACACTGGGTCCTCCCTTTAACTCGAGAACACCGACGCGTTGGAGAATGCGTAGCACATCAGGGTGCATCCACACATTATTAAAGGTCAAAGGGCTTTAAAGCAGTGCAATCATTTTGAAATTTTTATCATTTACTTATTATGCTTCATTAAGTACTTATACAAAATTTTATTAAAATAAAACCATTTAAACTGGGTGTTCGGATTTATATGTCACTTAGTATATATCTGGTAGATTTGGAGCCAACACCTGTTAGATACTCTGCTTGTATTATTATGTTTTCTTGAATACTATATGAAATAATTATTTCCAGGAAAAGGAAAACGATTTGTTATCTGTCACATTGGCAGTGAAGATGGCTTTGTACCCACTACCCTATGGGCATTTGAGTCAAAGAAAACGACCGACAGCCATGAATAAATGGACGGGAGTTCATTTGAACGATGGTTTGAAGACACGCTCCCAAAGCTGGACGACAATGCCGTCGTTGTACTTGATAATGCTGCATACCACACTAGAAAACTAGAAAAAATTCCCACAATGTCCACAAGAAAAGCAGAGATCCTACAATGGCTCCAATCAAAAGACATTAGTTTCAAGAATAGAATAGAACTTATCCATCTAGTCAGGCAGCACAAATATAAACATAATCTTAATGTTATTGTCGAAATGGCTAAAAACCAAAATGAGATCATATTATCACTGCGAATTAAATCCCATTGAAATGATTTGGGCAAATATAAAAACTATGTGGCTTCAAACAATAGAACATTCAAAATGTCTGACGTCAAAAATTTGATGAAGCTGTGAAGAGAGCAAACCATTGGAAAGATTGCATCCGTTACGTTCAGGAGACAATCGAAACAAAGATGTGGGATCTGGACAATATGATCGATATTCAAATGAACCTGTAATAATTAATATCAACCATTCGGACGATGATTCAAGTACTTCCTACGAATATAGAATTGTGAAAAGTATGTGCACTTCTTTCTATAAAAATAATCATTTATTTAGATTATTCCAAGACCATTGAGGAAAATACGAACCTGTACAATCTCGCTTTTGGGCATGTTGTGTTTTGTCTGGGCATAAATGGACGAATGGAGTATAACGTTTTGCACGTCGCTTCGGTTCACGTTCACGGAAAGGAATTACTTTACGACTCAGACTACTAGGACGCTGCGAAAATTGCCAATTTAATTTTATTCTCGACACAATAAGACGAGTGAGTTCTAATCCACTTCTAACGTTACAGACCGGAAATTACGCGATCAATTCAAGTTAGTGAAAATACCAATAATAAATAGATGTGGAATTGATCTATAGTTAGTTCTGTGTAAGGGCGCGGTACAAAAATGGACTACCGTTCCTCAGGGACTCTGCAAGCAGATTCCTTCCGTGCATCCATGCAAATGACTTAAACCATTATCGTTAATATTTATTACATCATCATAGGTGGAACTGTTCGTAGAATATTGAGAATTACCTGGTGCTCCAGACACAGAAAAATCGTATGTCATCAGTGAAAATGCTGCCAAATGGCCATATAGTTCATCAAAATGTTCGTGGGTAAATGCATCTTGTGAATCACGTTTTGGCGGTATTACAAGTATTGTTTCCAAATCCTCCTCATTCAATGCACTGGCTGCAATATTTATGAGACTATAATATTATTTATCATAATATGGTTGTTTACAAGATGGCGCAACGAAAACCTGATGTCATGATCAAAATATACTCAGTGACATTAGAAGTGTTATCCAGAAAAAATATTTTTTTCAACTTGTTTTTTTGGCATAATGACTATATTCAAAGCATAAAGCATGCTGTGGCAACAATGTCAACGTTTTATCTATGTTTTTGTTTACCTTTGTTAAAACGTTTTTGTGAAGCAGTTTCTGAGAGCTCAGCACGACAGATATTTTTAGTTATTGCTCTTTCATTTACTAGTGTTAAGCTTGATAAAATGACTCGAGTTCGAAGACGTCTAAATTAGCACCATGTTAGCGACTTTGACAGGGGTAGAATTATTGCCTATCGAGATGTTGGTTTGTCCTATCACGAAATTGGCCGCCGTGTTAATCATACTGCAATGACAGTAATGCGTGTGTGGATAGAAGAAGGCCAACTGGTCCACCGAGGCCTACCACCGAGCGTCAAGATAGGCGCTTTAGACAACTAGCCCTACGTGACCGTTTTACTACTAAGCGCTACGCGTCAAATCGCTGACCAATGGTTGGCGTACACTCAATCGCCGCCTTTAGACTTGTTTCATACCATCCACGGTTAATGCTTCCTCTGACTGCCGACCACGTTTGAACTGGCACAGAGAACGGCAACATTGGGAGCCACATGGCATAATGTCATCGTCAGCGACGAATTGTGATTCTGTCTATGTATGCACGATGGTCGTAGAAGGGTAAGACGCCGCCGTGGAGAACGGCGTGATATTCTATTTGCTGTTGAGAGGCATGTACACAGAACTGTTGGAGTAATGGTTTGGGGGGCTATTACCTATGGTAGCCGATCACCCCTTCTCTTTGTTCAAGACAATCCAGACATCCCCAGATTACTCGTCGTACTACGGGCTTTCTTAAGAAGCGTTAATGTTTTGCCGTGGCCACCCAGATCACGGGATTCCAATCCTATCGAACATGTGTGGGATATAATGGGGAGGAGACTTTCCACTTTGCACAATCCGTCAAAGACTCTGCTACAGCTAATTCATGAAGTTCAAGTTGCTTGGAATGAGGTGACACAACCAGACATCGATCATCTCATTTTGGCGATGTTTAGTCGTATAGAAGAGTGTATTCAGCTGCGGGGTCGCCCTGCACATTATTTATTTTTTTCTTATTACTTGTCAATAAAATTTCGTGAGAATGTTATCGTTTCATTCTTGATGTAAGACTACCTCATTGCCACAAAATCAAGTTGAAGAAATTATTTTTTCTGAGTGTAACACTTCTAATGTCAGTGAGTATAAAAACATCAGCAAATTGGATTCATATTAGCATCATATGAAGCTGAAATGCTGAGTTAATAACAAAGTTTACAAACTAACATGTTGAGTTAACCAATGAAGTTTTTCTTCAAACGTGTTGGATACTCGAGTCTTTGTCTAGATTGATTAGGGGTTTTCTAATGATATTTTTTTTGTTATAAACTGTTTCTTAATAGGTCCCTATTGAAATGGAATAAAACAGGCTTTGTGAGAGGTATTCAGGAAATGCATGCATGGAGTCCAATGTTCAGTGAGTCTGCCACAGAGACCAGACTGAATTTGAATGATGGCCTGGGTTATGTTGACTTTGAGAGCACCAGTGCAACTTACTGACATGAACTTGCGCGAGATTTTGAGCCGATATCATCACTATTTCATACTTCTCTGAAACTGATACTGTTGAGTCCATCACTGTAATTTTTTTTGTTTGATTTTTTTACCTCCCAGATATGTGCCATTATGTGGAGCTGCAGTGGACTGATGTCATATTCCTTAAAAAAAGGCATATGCAAGCCTTCCAAATTAAAAATTTCATTCATACCTCAAAGATAGCTTCTTTTAATCTATTCCAACAATCACCCTATTATCAACTTGATTTGGCTTCTTACGGCTTTTGAATTATTATATTATGTAATAGAAATATATACAGTTAAGATTCTTATGGTACATCCACACATGCCACCGGCTTTCAGACTGTAGGATTGGAAGATGTTGGAGTATAATATAGTTGCGTGTATCGCAGTTGTGCTGTACGTTATTATTCATAAAAATAACCGCGAAATGAAACGAAGATATTGGGTCAAATCAAGACTACGAAATAGGCCTAATGTGTCCCCGATACTTGAAGATTTAAGAGTGGACATCATAAACCGAGGAAATATTTGTTCAAAACCTCTAGTGAAGAATTTCAAATATTACTGAATTTAACTGGACTCATAATATCAAAAACTCTTATGTTTTACTCAGTACACTAAAGTGACACCACAAGTTATTTATTTACTATTTTCAGATCTTTGTCAAGCTACAATTATGTAAGGGTAAGTATAAATACCCGTATCACATTAGGTAGTTTAAAACTGAACGCCTATGTTAAAAAGCAGAACACATAACATACATACGCACAGATATGGCATGTACAAGACACAAACATTTTATACTGTACCTGGAACTTTACACACATTTTACATATAACTGGAACTACACACACAAATATCACAAACAAATTATTTTTTTACAGATGCTAAATACACAGGAAGAGTGGCTATCAGTGGCTCGGAGTTTCATGCTGAAATGGAATGCACCTAATTGCGAAAGTGCCCTGATGGGAAACATATACGAGCCCCTTCTGACTTCAGTTGGCCCACTTCAAGATTTGTGCCAAAATATGCCTTTATAAACTAAACATGACGAAACTATTTACTTCTAAAACAATTTATTTTCTCAAAAACATTTTAGATACACTCTAGTCGTAAAAAATATATATTTGAAATCACTTAGACCTATAACTAATTGAACATCTGAACTAATAAACAATGTGCGAATAAATGCGCGAAGTTAACAAAGCAACAATTGAAAGATTACCATTGGGTAACATCACCTTTATTTTTTATTATGGCTGAAATTCTTTGGGGCATAGTGTTAACCAAGTTTTGGCAAAAATTTGATGTAAAACAATCCCATATTTCTTGAAGCTTTTGTCTCAGTTCGGTGATTGTAGGAGCAGGATGTTGTCGTTGCACCTTTTTCATCTCGTGCCACAAAGTTGCAATAGGTGACAGATCTGGACTGCTAGAAACCCATTTCAAAAGTGGTACATTATTTTCTTCCATCCATTTTATAGTCTTTTTTGAGGTATGGCACGCTGCACCATCTTGCTGAAACACAAAATCTTGGCCGGATGTCAAACATTCTTCCATCACTGGTAAAAGCGATTCTTCTAAAATTGCCAAATATTTGTTTGTATCCACATTTCCATCAATAAAATGAAGTTTTTCTACTCCTTTTGATGACATACTGCCCCAGACCATAATGGATGCTGGAAATTTCACTTTTCTCTTCAGACAGTCAACATGGAATACTTCATTTTTTTTGCGAATAACTCTACTGCGACTGTCACCAACACAAACTTCGAATCGGGCCTCATCACTCCATTGTATTGCACACCATTGTTGAGGTGTCCATTGTCTATGTTCTTTAGCCCATCTAAGCCGATTTTTCTTTTGCAGTGGAGTTAATAGTGGCTTTTCTTTGGCCTATAAACAAGTTGTGCAACTTTAGGGTTTTTCCTTCACTTTTTTTATAAGAAAACTTACCTTGCAAGTGCTAAATCCCAGTTTGTGGGCCCCACTATGAGTTGTGGACCTCGAAATTCTCCTTCCAACAGCGTCAATCCACAGAGCACTTAATTGTAAATAATTGGCACGCCTGTTTTTCACGATTATTCTTCTTAATGCTCTTCGGTCGGCATATGTGATATTACTTTTTTTCACATATCGTGGCTTAATATTAACTGAACCAGTTACATTATATCTTCTAACAATATTTCTCACACTGTACCGCGATAAGTCTAACAAAGTTGCAATTTCTGAGTTTGATTTCCCAGAATTAAAAAATTTAATTATCAGTAACCGAATTTTCTCACTAATAACCTTTCCTCTACCCATTTTGAAAACCTTAACTACTCAAAACAATTTTAAACGTATTCTGACAGCTGTGATTAATAAAAACAATTGTCATGGCTTTTATTTTCACAGCCACCTATGCATTATAGACTTATTTTGCATTGAAATGAAAATAGGTTGATATGCTGTAATTGCAAAATGTGTTATTTTTATGCTTCAAATTTGATTAGGGAGTGACAAAGTTGGTGTTTTCTACCATATATTATCAAAATATTCATTGTTAATATTTTAAACCTATAACACCCTGCTACATTTTTATTATTTGTGTTTGATAAGAAAAAAACTAAGATTTCAATAGTTGGGCCAACTGGAGTGGGAAGGGGCTCGTACGTACATCCTGTTCAACTAATAGCGGTAACTGAGTTTTTTTTTAATTATAAGTCATATTTCAGTAATGTTTTGCTAGCTTTAATCGATGCCAATTCTAACTTTTTATGCGTTGACATTGGATGTAAATATGTCAAGAATAGACAATGGCCGATGGTGATGAGTATTTGACGATGTCTTCTCTGAACACTCACTGTGGAAAAGTCAGTGAACGCCACACTGACAAGCGAGTTCAGGCGATCAGGGTTCGAAAATTCAACAAGACTATTACTGAATAACCAGCACCATGTAGTAAGAGATCGTCTGCGTCGAGAACGCGTGGACGACAGGGTTGCCAGGCATGGCGATTTTCCGCCAAAGTGCAGATTTGACGGCTTCAAATGGCAACTAAAATGGATAGCTTGGCGATTGGCTACCCCCCCCCCCAAAAAAAACAACTATATAGGCAAGCCCTTCTTACAGCATTACACCAGGGGAAATAAATTTGTGGCTATGTTGTCACTTGTTCAGCAGTGTAGGCTATTTAACTGGACTATTCTCATTTCTGCTTCATAGATAATATTGTGTAATGACCCATCATCTTCAGGTTGCTACTTATATAGTCTGCAAATATATCAGCATCATCACGTTGCTTTGCTTTAGACATAATCTTCCTCAGTAGAAGCAAAGCTTCATCAGCTTCAGGATCTCTCTGTATATTTCGCTTTTTTGAAGTCCTTGTCGAAGGTAACATAGTCTGAGGTATGATATTATCTTAAGACTGAAAATTAGAAGAAAATCTTATAAATAATTTCAAACAAGTTTCAAAATTGCTAAATATATTTTGAATATATCCAATCAGTATGTAAGTATGTATTAATAACCAAACCTATAAACAATCTATACAATCACCACTGATGACGCTTAGATTACACTAGGAGTGTGTTTGAGCACTTATCTCAACCATTACAGCATACTTTCGCATTTGGCGAACCTTATGCCGAGTACATAACATGCAAATATGAAAGTATTCCAGAGGAATTTGATGGGTACTTACACTAGGTGTGCAACTGTTCAGAGTCAGTCTTATCATTAAGGAATGGTAACACCATATACGTAAACCATTCTCGCAGTTGAACATCCACTCTTCCAGATCCACTCCTTTTAGATTCTTCATATTTGCATTTTTCTCGAAAATATGGCTGGATAAGACAGATGCAATATCCCTAACAGTATCATGTCTTTTGTTGCAATTCTTGAAATCCTTATGCCTTGGGTTCCACAATAGTTCATTTTCTTGACACTGTACTATTCATAAAAGTACTGCACTATCATCCCAGTTAAATTCTGTCATTTTTTTATTAATAGGAAATCATGTTAATACCAAATATTTTATTTGACACAATACTACCACTCCCTATCGAAGCTGCAAGCAAACAGAAGCTGGCTGCATGTGTGGATGTACCATTTATTCTAGTATCACACAGACATAACTGGGTGCCAACTAGATAGTCTATATTGGGTTATTTAATTTTATGAAACATTGACATAATGACATATATTTTTGTAAGACAAACAATATTATTTTTAGAATATCTTACCAATGTCCTTGATGAATTTTGTAAGCAAGTCAAATTTCAGAACCATCACAACTTGTGACCATACTTCCAAAACATAACCATCAAAATGATACTTTTTGGCTGTTTTTATCAATGATTGAGTTAACTTCTTCATACGACCCTCATTTGAGACTATATTAAGGTAGTCTCTACCATACCACCCTTCAAATAATAACCTGGGAACAACTGAAAATTCACAGTTAGTTTCAGGAATTACCAAATTTGGGACTGCTAACTTTTCAAATTCCTTTGCCTTCCAGCATTTTTCACTGCCACCATCCACTTTGAGTCAACATCATGTAGACCACGCACCTGATAGTCCTGACCTGATATTTGGAGCCATACAGGGCTTATATGAGTGAACTTATTACCAAATATTTTTGCAACATCATAGCCATGACTATTCCACTAAAAATGTAAAGTGATAGTACAAGCAGATCAACACAAGTATAATAATAACACACTGGTGTAACATATCCAAGAACTAATCCATCAAACTTATAATCGTCCACCTCTTTAAAAAATGCCTTATGATTGCTAATAATATCCTTTGCAGACTCTATTTCGGTAACAAAGCCTTTGTCGAAGACACTGTAATTCTGGGGTCCCTCCTTGATCTTTTCCGATTTCTTTTCACTTTTGCTGACTCTATTCTTGGGACTGAGGGTGGCTTTGGCAAGATATATATTACAATAACATAATAAGAAGCACACAACGTACACTGTTTTAACCATTTCAAACTATTTATCTATCTGGCATATTATGTATCTCAAAACTTATGGAAAAATTATCATGTTTTGAGTTATGGGTAAGCAAAAACATAACCTCTAATTAATCCAACACTCAGACATCTGTCAAATTACCTTCGTCTTTTTTATGCAACTTAGCATGCGCTCTGCTGTTATGCGTGTTGCGGAAGTGTAATAATCACAAATGGAATATCTTATATTCCACTACTCCAGTCGATTGGATGCGATGTTTTTTATATTTAGGTATGTGATAAAATCTCATTTGATTTGACTATATGAGTCACAACGCTTTCACATTACACGATTTCTCTCGTGCGGGAAAAAATCGCCCGATTTTTAATCGTGGTTTGTTACTTTTCACATTGAACGATAACAAAAATTTAATAAGTACCAAATTAAAAGCTGAAATTGACCTTTGGAAGTCGGACAGTGGAATGTCATTGTATTTATCATGAGATGAAAACATTTTTCCTTCAATTAATAGATGCCTACAATTGTTGATTTCATTGCCAGTAAGTGTTGCGACATCTGAAAGAAGCTTCTCCCATCTAAAAAGGATAAAAACTTGGCTGCGCTCCACTATGTTACAAGAGCGATTAGTGGGCTTAGCTGTTTTGTATATGCATAGGGATATTAAAATAGACGTGAATACAATCATAGATCGGTTTGCCAGCAAAAATAATAGGCACCTTGATTTTGTAATATGATAACACCTGAACTTTGCCTAAGGTTGTTTCTCAAATCCATCTCCCTTCTGTTGGCCAATAAATAAAAAAGCAGATATACATAATTACGTTTAAACCACCAAGGTGATCTTTTCCAAAGTATCCAATCGGGATATGTGGTTTTATTTATTGGCCAACAGATTGATATAAAAGTCTGTTCAAATTCTGTTCAAATCTCTTTCTAAGCAAATGTAATGATTGTTTTATTTTGAGACTGTGAACTGATGTAGATTCATAGTTTATATGTTTTCATTTTTTGAGACAGGCTAAGAGAATCTAGTAATGCAATGAATATTTTTTGTGTTTTTCTCATGATTAAGAATCTTATTTTGATTTACATTCAGTTTTATACTTTATAGAAGTCGTAACATATTTATAATTGTTATTTTTTTCATGAAGATGTATTTTTTGTTGTTTTGTCTGACATTGTTATGTAGAAAAGTCTGTGATAGAATATATTATTTTGCATTTTTGTTTTAATATATGAGGATTGCTCGAGCTTGGTTTGCTTTATTTACACTTTGATTTCGTATGATTCAAAATTTAAAAAAAAAATGTATGTGTCTTCTACAGAAATTACTACAACAAATTCATATATGCATATATGTCCATGTTTTTTATGTTGAATCATTATAACACTTCAGTACCTCACACTGAGAATTTACCTTCCATTTTACCCCTCCCAAACTGAAATCCTGGGAGCGCCACTGAAGCAATGTAAAAGAACCTAGGAGAAGAGCTTCGTAGGGTCGTATCGTCAGTTCTTTCTACAATATTGTAGGACGCCTTTATGGCCGCCTTGATTTTCATAGTTTTCAACTTTTCCGTGTCAGCGCTCTATTTTGAGGTTGTGTTACAAATATGTATTTGCATCAAATGGTCCATGCTTTTGATTTATATCATCTGCTATTTCCTGAAATTCAAAAAGAAAACGTAGCCTCACAATAGGAGAGCGCCGACGCTGACACTGAACAGTAGAAATCTAGAAATCCCCAGCTTTTCTGAAAACTAGAAAAGTAAGGAGACCATAAAGGCGTCCTACAATTATGCTCCGGCTTCGTCTCGTAAATAGAATAGATATGTAGTATCCCGTTTCCGACCAAACCCACGAGTTCAAAGCGCGTACGCAGCGAAGAAAAGCGACCCCTGCCCTACAGACTTATTCCTTGTTATTGAGCCAAACCGCATTCGGGTTCGCGGGTCGATTTTACGTTTTCAGCAGTGTCGAGGTGCCTAAACGCAAGAGAGGACAAAAGAACTGCTCATACAGGAATCGCTGAACGTAAATATTAGACAACTGGAGCGATGGTGGGCCGATAGATGTACCTTGTCAGCGAGACGTCGACGGAAGGTCACTTTCAAGGTTTCTTTCGTCGCAGAGCAGAATAAGAAAGTGGCGTGCAGGCCTCTTTTTCTCAAGGGACGTCACCATCAGGTAATTGTCGTCTAACCGATCTGTCTTAGGTGCGAGCTTATGAAGTTAGGTGAATATTAGTATAGATGCCTGACACGAAGTTTGGGATAACGTTCTGATATTGGACTAGGTTGCTTGAGATAGCAACCTGGACCTAGTTTGTGATAGCCGGCTCCATACCAAGGACGAACAAAGACGTTTGGGATAACGCTGAAACATTGGACTCGGTTGCTTGGGATAGCAACGTGGACCTGGCTTGTGATAGTCAGCTCCACACCAAGGACGAACGAAGACGTTTGGGATAGCGACTCAACACTGAGATCCGTAGCTTGTGATGGTAAGTTGTACTTAGCTTGTGAGGGCTACGATCCTACCACAAATAGCAATACTGAAAGCGTTTGGGACGACGTAGCGACAAAGTATGGCCAACAATCTCTTCTCACTTGCTTGTGATAGCAAATTCCATCTGGTTTGTGATAGCAATATAGCAATGTGCCATTTTTCATTTATAACAGATAACAATTAGGTATATCTATGTGAGACTAGCGTTACATTTTGCTTGTGATAGGAAATTCCATTTGGTTTGTGATAGCAATGGAATATGTCAATATTATGCCATTACAGGTTACGAAACCGGCGAAGTACCATTTTTCATTAATACCAGATATTAATTAGGTACAACTATGGTAGACTACCGTTACATTTTGCTTGTGATAGCAAATTCCACCTGGTTGGTGATAACTATGAAACAGGACTGTACGTATGAACATGACAGGCTAGGAAGCCACCAAAGTACTAATTTTCAGTAATAACGGAGAGACGTATCATTATGCCCTATTAGCGTTACATTTTGCATAGGTGGCACTCGAACAGTGAGACGCTATGGATTGTGATGTCTTGTGTATTCTGTTTCAATAGATGACATCACCACGACGATGCAGCTACGTTAGTGTAATGTTCACGCATTGTTACAGGGCTGACATTTCAAGGAAAGGTCTTGTTGATGACAATAGATGAATAAATTCTGTCCTATTTTAAGGTGAGTGTACCCTAAGGTAGCGGCCGCTATAATAGAAATTGTCGCACGCAGTGATGCGCGCTTGGTGTCTGTACAGCAACATGTGAGTTGTTTATTAACTGAAAGTGGCAATACTCTTTCCTCTATTCTCATAGAAAGGCGGAGAGGTGCATCCTGGCAAATATTCACATTTAAGCAAAGAACTCAGGAGTACTCTAACAGTGGATTTCATTGATAACTTGCTCTTCGGAGTAAGTCTGACCAAGTCAATTCTAAATAGAAATCAGATAAATATTATCAGCAACTGAAGGCCGAAAGGCCGGACACCGTACTGAGACAAAAGTCTCATGGTGTTTGTTTTATTTTATATCGAAGCAGCCGCGCAGGCAGAAGCCTAAATGCCGGAACACCGCGACTGCTATGGTGATCCCAAAGAAATTTTGTTAATACGCTTTTTGAACTGCCTAAGGTTAGTAGAACTGTGAAAAGCTTCCTCTTGTAGGTTGTTCCACAATCTCGACACCCTCGTGACAAAGGAGCGGTCATATCGGCAAGTTCTGGATGTACGAAGTTCGACACGGTTAGAATCGGACGCCAAAGTTAGGCGGATCTGCCTGGCAGGCACATCGCGCGGCGGCATCATGGAAGAGAGCTCTGGGAGCAAAGCCCGTTGGTGTAGCGGTAGAAAAGAGCTAGATCGCCGACGGCCCGCCGGTGCGAAAGGGTCCCGAGACTGTCTGTTAGAGAAGAGTCATTGATCACTCGGACCGCCCTCCTATGGACAGCATCGAGCATGGACAATGTAGTCGGGGCTCCAGCACCCCAAACGTGTAAGCAATACTCGAGGCTATGCCTTATCTGGGCCTTGTATAGAGTGAGAAGGTCATGCGGAGAAAAGTACTTTTTAGCCCTAAACAAATAGCCTAGCTTTTTCCAGCAGCTGCTGCTATTGACGAGATGTGTTCGTGCCAGATCAGGTCCTCGGTGATCTGGACTCCGACCAGCCGGAAGGAATGGCTCTTCGGCAGAACGCGGCCAGCCATCGAAACCGGATGAGCGCTAGGACGCTTTTTCATCGTCAAGGTACAGTACTGTGTTTTGGAAGCATTGTACTGTACAAGATTGTCGCGTCCCCAAGCAGTGATAGCCTGTAGGTCTCTTGTCAGAGAGGAAGTCGTCGCTAGTCTTCTTCTTTCCAGCTCAGTGGCAGAAATCGGTTTATCACTCTGAATTCCTGCTTGTAGAAAGCTGTGGATTGGGTTGATCGTGCAGGAAAGGAGGTCGTTGATATGTAAGAGAAACAGTGTCGGAGCCAAGACCGATCCCTGGGGAACACCCGCGTTGACGTTTTGGGATGAAGAGGAGAACCCGTCAATTACGAAGGATATCTTGCGGCCAGATATAAAGTCAGCCACCCATCTGCAAAGCTTTTCTGGAAGGCCATAGGATGGAAGTTTGCTTAAGAGGGCAGCGTGTCACAGCTGATCGATAGCTTTCGTGATGTCAAAAGCAACGACATGAGCCTCACCATAAGACTGGATGAGTTTACTCCACAATTGCGTGACGTAGGCTAGGAGGTCCCCTGTGGATCGTTGGTGCCAGAAACCATACTGCCTGTCGCTAATCAAGCTGTGACTTTCGAGGTAGTACCAGAAGCTCGCGATTTATGCACCTCTCCATCTCCTTACTTATAACAGAAAGCAGAGCTATAGGCCTGTAGTTGTAAGGGTCGGCCTTAGATCCTTTTTTTTTTGGGATGGGTTAGACATGAGCAAATTTCCAGTTTTCTGGGAAGGTGCCTGATTCATAAGATATCTGGAAGAGACGCGAAAGAACTGGAGCAAGCTCCGCTGCACACCTCTTCAGTTCAATGGCAGGAATCAAGTCCGGACCAGAAGCTTTGTTGATGTCGAGCGACAAGAGCACTCGTCTTACGCCTGAATGTTACCTCCCGCATAGTGTAGGGAACCGTTTGAAATGACGGCACTTGGGCGTTGGGGACGTCC